CATAAATTTAAGATTAAGTGTCATATATGGGTGATAAAAGTGGCATAGGCTAGTTTTTATATACTCATTATTCACTTAGTTTGTCTTTTTCAATTAAAGCCAAGTCTATCTTTTTCATCCCACTGAGTTTACATTTCTTTTTCAATCACATTCTGAACACATTACAATAGCTGCGACCTAAAAGTGAGTCTAGTCTAGTGTAAATCTCAGAGTAATGTGTTAGTCACCATGGCTTCTTTCAAAATGCATGGTAAAAAGATTTTGATGATTATAAGGTGCTATTTATCAAAAGGCACCTTTTAGAGGTTGAAAGACGCTCAACCCTTCCCTTGAGTAGCATAGCTTTCTATTAGAATAAGCCATTTAGTTTCCAAAGCCAATTGTGAAAAATTTGTCAGGTCATTGGATTGTTAAGACTCAGGTATGTTTTACCCATTGTACTGTAAACGCACCTTGTGCCTGTTCATGTCTCTCCTTCATTGTGGAAAAAGTCCAGTTTAGCCATAACCTGTTTTTTAAAAAAGTTAATCAAGGGAAAGGCATTCATTAGAACAATCAATAACTTTTCAATTAGCCATTTTCCAACTCTGGGCATTTGGCTTCATTGATCTGCATGTGCCCAGTTTAATTGATTTGTATGTTTTCACCAGTAGGTGTTTGGTAGGAAAATTATCCATCTTCCCACCCTCATCCTACTTAATAATAATAATAATAAAAAAAAAAAACTTGTCTTTTTGTTTTGAAGCCAGCCTATATTCTAAACTGAGAATCTTTATTGAGTTAAGTTCATTTCAATGAATACCAAGTGAAATCTGACCCAGTTCATAAAGTAGAGAGAGATGTGGAATTAACTGGTAGAGCCATTTAGGGTGCTGTGTGATTAGCTTTACAGTTATTTTATTGATCTGGGTCAGATCAAATGGTGGTGGAGTCATTTCAATTCTTGCTACCTTCCTGTATACATTTCATACCTTCACAGAGTATGTGTGTGTTTCCAGCGATATTGGATAGGTTGTGAAAATAGGAGGAAGACACAGAGCTGTTACCTTTGTACCTTGTTTACAATCTCCAGGCTGCAAGTCATATTACAGGGTGTATTGTGGTGGGGGATGGTAGGACTGTTTTCAAGAGTGAGAATTTCAATTTAGGGAAGTCAGCAGTTTATTATTTTCAAGAATTTTAAGACAGTTCTAACCTTGTGTGGTTCTATCTTTTTATTGCACTATCTATGGAAATTTGCAGAAAGCAGTTAGCTTTTGTGTATGTGTGTTAAATACCTGTCTAGACTTGCTCAGGATTGTGGGGAGAGATGGGTCGCAGTTTTTCTTGGGAATATGTATGCATACACACACATAGATACACAAGCTAAATTTGAGTTCATTTGATATTTCTTAAATGCTTGCTTTTTAGGGATAACGATGACTGATGGCTATTGAGGGCTTTCTAACAAAGTATTTGCTTAAGGATTGCTGAGCTACGATGCCATTTAAAAACATGTATCATATTCAGATTCTTAACATTTAAGAGCAATTGTATATCTGATCCTTTGAGCAGCGCTCTTTTATAAATTGAACAGATCAACTGTAAATTGTAAATCTGAACCCCAGCATTGGAAGGTAAGGTTTTCCTGAGGTAATGTTATGGTATGCCAGGAATAAAAAATCATCACCACATTTAAATTTGTTGGGAGAACCTTTACCTCATTGATGATTTTAGCGTCAGATGGAAATTGGTGTAAATTCTTGGGTTAAATTCTGGCGGAGCTAACCTGTTGTCTACTGGGCTGTGGCAGGCAAGGGTAAGGGATAATTCTTAGTGCTTTGGGGTGCCCCCTTTGCGCCACCTCACTTCACTGTCTGGGAGCCCCCCTGCTCCAGTGGCTGTGAACACGTGAGTCCCTGCTAGTAGTACCCCTTCCTCTGAGGTAGGGAAATTCTAACTCACCAGGCCAGGAGGCTAGCAAGGAAGGCTGACCTTTTCTTGTAATCAAATTATGGACGTTCACCAAATTACAGACAGTCAGCAGTCAGTGAAATCTACATATTAACAGAGGGACATGACCCCTGAAGAAAGGTAGAAGAGGGCTACCGCTTTCGCTAGTTTGCCGTTTGCAGGGCTATTCAGGATACAATAAAAAGCTTCAAATCTCTTTTCCAACCAGCCAGAGAGCGCTTGATTTGCCCAAGACTTTTATTGCTCACTTTTGAAATATTACCCTGGCTCTGAGCTACAAAGCCGCAGCCCCAGCCCCATTTGTCTGGCGAGGGCTCTGCTTGTAATCCAACGCTCCCTGCTCCTAACTCTGTGGTCAGGAACCCTGGGGTTCAACATTCGGAGTGTTGCGGAGGGCAGACCCTGAGCATCTTGAGGCTATCCCAAGTAACTTCTCCACGCTCGCCCCGGCCGTCTTCTGAGGCAGGTCCAGGGGGTCTCCTGTGCCTGGGAAATGCTAGTTCGAAATGAAATGAGGAAGGTTGGGAGTGTTAAAAATGACCTAGATTTCGAAAGTTTAAAAAAGGAAACTGTGTGCGGACAACCAGCAAACTAAGATTATTTCGGGAACCACTTAGAGCTAAAGTACCCCCCCCTTTTTTTTTTAATTAAAAAAAAAAGGAAAGCAGTTTCCCATGCTGCCCTCTTCACGCCTCTTTTGAGAAATAATTACACACACATAAAAAAGAATCAGTGTTTGGTAAATCCTTTCATTGACTTAAACCCCTTTCTGCGATCAACTGAAGAACATATGAATAAACGAATTCTCTAAAAATTCACTTTTTTCTCTGTCCAATCTTTGAGTTTTCTCCCCCCTCACAAAACATCAGTTCTTCCTGCAACGCCTCCTCCCACTCCGTCAACAAATATTTTATCACAAAATAGCATGGCTTACTATTAAAATAAAATTTGGGGAGGCGGAGTTAGGAAACACTATATGGAGCATTGCAGTTTTTTATGTTTTCTGAATTTTTATAGAATTGAAGTGACCTTTTAAAGAAATAACTCTTGGGCTGTAATTCCTTCTGCTATTGCTTCCGGAGATACAAAATAGATCCTGTTTGTTTAAACTTGGATTGTATAATGAAAATGTAAAATAGGCAATTAAATACTCCTGGAAGAGGGGATTAAAGACAAGCGGCCAGTGAAAAACATTAAACCGACTGTTCACCAGTCATTGTGCCCGTGATTCCACCCAGGACCGAGTCTTGTCGGAAGAGTTAGCTAATCCTTCCACTTTCTTTATAGTTATTGGGAAACCAATGATCTTTTCCTTTCGGTTGAAATCCGAATATCCAAAGGTTGCTGTTTCCCCTGAGTATAAAATTTGAAGAGTTTAGAACAGAGTGCTGCATCCCAAGTTTCTTTATTTTGAATTTACTTTTAAGAAGTCAGGGTCTTTACTGTACTAGATTATGTCTCCTTGTCTTCTCTTCAAAATAGGGCATCGCAAGGAAAGAGAAGCTGTAGTGGTTGCTTTCATTTCATTTTGATAGCTACCTATGTATATCAATGGATGCCAAACCAGAACGCTATTAAAAAACAATTATTAAATTGTGATTTTTACATTGTTTTAATAAAACATCCACCACCTGTTTTGTTTTTAATGAGTGTATACAATATAACAACAGTTTAATCAACTTTAAATTTACATCATTGGATCAAAGTATTTCTAATTGTAATCAAGAATTTAAAATTGATTACATTCTGTCCCAAACACTAGGTTTTAGATTGTTAGCAGTAAGTGCAGTTGAGAGACGACTTATTATACTGTTTTGAATTACTTACATCTAAAATCATTGTATGTTTTGATACTGTCTTTTTATCAATGTGAGTTAGGTGACAAAGTAGTTAAATAAAAAGAGAAAGAAACATGTTATCTCTTCAATGCACCATATGGATGCTACAACCATATGTACTTTATAAAAATATGATATCTTTATATTAACGATCTCAAAGGAAGTTTTGAAATTCTGAAAACAAAAATTAATTTGAAGTTGTGTGGTATAAAATTAACAATAAGAATAGGACTAGTATAAAAATCAAACCAACAAAGATTATTGGAATTTTACAGTAGGAAGAACTAGACAGCAGAATAATTAGGAAGTTTACTAATTTTTTTAAAAGGCTGTGTGAAAATACTCTACCTCCTCTTCAGTATTTACAGCTGATAATACAAGGGAGGCAGCAAGAGCTCATAAAATCACACAACTTGTTATCTTTTATTTGAGGGTGGACAGAGTAGGTAGTGCAGTAGGAAAGAGGCAAGTTGAGAATCTTGGCTAGGAAAAAATGGGATTTATTTTTTCTTTAAAGCATTTTTTAACATTGTGTACACCCCCAATGAGATAGATTGGCCAAGTGGTAGCATCGATGGACTCAACCAGTAGTGAGGTTGACCCAGGATCGGGCAGTGTTTCACTCTGCTGTGCATAAGGTCGCTATGAGTCGGTACTGACTTGATGGCATCTAACAACAACAACAACTGAAAATGAATTGGTACTGACTTGATGGCATCTAACAACAACAACAACTGAAAATGAATTACACGGAGAAAAACATGCCCCTGCCAGAGACATTATCTTATATGGATATAATATGGTGAATAACCTTTTCACACAGGAACTTATAGAATACTGTAAAATGATACTAACACATGCATAAAAGCTCAATGCTTGCTTTTATACTAGAGAATATGTTTTATAGGGCACTGGTTTATTAAAACTTGTGTGCTGCTTCCTGGTTTAATGATGCCAAACATCCAAATAGCATTTGCTGTGCTAAGCATAAGTAGAGCATACAAATTTTATTAGCTAAGTGGTGAGCAGATTTGTCCAACTTAGTATTTGAAACATACTTTAACTGTTATGTTTTGGATTGATAAATAACGATAACAAATTGTACAGATATTAACACTTAAGGGTAGAAACAATCATTGGCCTATTTATCTTCACAAAAAATGATGCTTTCCTATAATTGGTATCCTGTTTCTTATATTTCATGTTTAGATGTTGAAACATTTGTAGCAGACATACTGAGAGGGGAGAATTTATCCAAGAAAGCAAAGGAAAAGAGAGAATCCCTTATTAAGAAGATAAAAGATGTAAAGTCTATGTAAGTCACTTGGCTTTTATTACTATTTTTTTTACTTAGAAGCAACTTTATAATTAACGTTTTAATAAGGAATTTATTATCATGGTGTTAAATTATGTATGTTATAATTGGTGTTAAGTATTACTAGAGAACAAAATTTCCATTATAATAGTTTTAAAAACTAGATACTACCTTTTTTTGTGTGTGTGTGACGGCTCTTGATTATATATTTCTGTGAACATCCTAGTAAAATCCAACTATTTATTTTGATTAGATGAGGGTATGCTGCTGTTGTATCAAGTCAGTTCTGACTTACAGCAACACTGTGTAATTTATTTGGCTTAAATTATGTGTTGTAAGGCAGATAGAGGATTTTAATATCAATATGAAAAATCCTTTAGAGAGTGAAAAAATAATCCTTTAAAATGTTAGTGCTTTAAGTGAATAATGGTAACCTAAATTGTAGATATTAAAGATGGTTCCTGATTTTACTATTATAAATTTTACCTTTAAAAATACTTTTATAATAAAAGCATAAGCCTTAGAATGATCATTTCTGGATAGGAAACAGTTCTTTGCTCTAAATGTATATTTAAATATAGAGATTTTAAAATAGATTTGAATTTTTGCCACTGATTAAGCCTTGTTTTTTTTGTTAAATGCTCATTTAAAAACACAATGCCCTTGTTTTATTTTACAGTTATCTTCAGGAATCTCAAGACAAAGGTAAATTTCCAAGTTTACAAAGCTTGACATTTTATATCTTCTATGGAGGTTTTCAATAGCATAATCTAAAATACACTGAAATTTGATAATTGGGGTCAAAATTTCAATTTCTGTAAGGTATACAGAGACATTCAAGATGAGAGTGCTGGCTCCCCCTGCTGAGAAAACAAAAGGCTATCTAGAATCTACACCATGCACAACCTTTTGATAGAGCAACCTTATGTATTTAACATTTCTAGGTGTTTTGTTTCTTAGAACACCTGATAGCAGAAATTTAATAAGAGAAGCATATGCCTGCAGTTGCACATGAAATAATTTGGTGAAGCAGAAGCAATACAAGAGCCTAACCCCATTTATAACTCTGCAGAGATTACTTACAGTAATGGTGTGAACAGGAAACCCTGTGGTTAGTTGCTTTTAGGCAGTGCTTCTGAAGGATAATTGTTTTAAAAAAAAAACAGTGTCATTTTTGGTTTGAAAACACGAATAAAATATTTCTCAAGTGCAAGTTTTTCTTTTCCATAAGGTAGGTTTGATATGGGTAAGTATGTGGGCAATGCACCTTTACAAAGAGAATTGAGTTTCTTTCTCTTGAAATGTATCAAAGTGCTGGTCACCTGATTGTCTTCTTTGCAGTTTGAGAGACAGTTCTTAGTGTGCTGAAAACCAGACCAGGAAAGGGGTAGGAAGGACGTACTACTTCATGTGTTCAGTTCTGCAAGGGAAACTGGGAGAGCCCTTACTTCCAGAATGCTAAGTCATAGGTCATGACCTGAAGCCTGTGGATGCTGGTCACAGCATGAGATCAGTTAACCTATATGGGATTCTGCTCTCGGTTTATGGGGAAAACATAATCACGGCATCTTCTAACTGGAGCTAGCAGATAACCACAGAGTAATTCATATCTGTGCCAACTGACAAGTAGGAGGGTAATGACAGTTTCAACAAACCAAGCATTTCATCAGGCACACCTAAAATCAAAGAGTTAAAAGGAAACCACATTTTTTTTGTATTTTAAATGATCAAGATCACTGTGTATTGTATGTTTAGGTTGTGGGATATGAGAATTTTTTTTTCCCCTGTATTAAAATTTTTGATGCAGTTTAATAAGGAGAGGGGCAGGAAACTCCTCCTCCCTGCAAGTGCTCTACATTGAACCCTAAATCATGGTTTTGATCTCTTCCTGCTTTGCTTAGTTGAATTTAGAAAGAATGAATTTATGCATTTTAATTGCAGTATCTTTTATACAGGGCTTGGTTTATAAAGGATATTACATATAAAATTCTGCCTCTTTTCTTAAGAGGCATATTTTCCCCAGTAATTATTTATTGAATTCTTGATGTGACTTAATTATTTGTACATTTAAATTTTTTAGGACAGCTTGGCAATATGAAGTCATCATATAATTGCATATGGCTCAGTAATAGTGTAGGAACATTCCCTTTGGTATTCTGTTTTAAGACTTGTTCAGGTGTATGGCTATTAAAATTACATTACTAAGATACATTCTTTGTCTCCAAAGAGAATGGAAATTTTTATATTATATGAGATTGAAATTGAAGGGTGAGCCTAGAATAAAAATTCAAACAGCACAGAACTCAGAGATTCCTTATAATCATTTTCCTCTGAATAAGGCATTTGTTATTCAGTGTTGGTGTAGTGAGTTAACTAATCGCCAAGAATCCTATTCAGAAGTAAACCTATGGATAAATTAGGTGTAGACTTTGGAGAGCTGAGCAATTTTATTCTATTGTACTCTCAAACTATATTTAGCTTCATTCTGAAAAGAATATTCCAATAGTTTATTAGGAATAGCAAAGGGAAATGGATATTGATCTAATCGTTTGCAAAGTAATTGTTTAAGGTACATTTTTAAAAAGGTCTTTATTAATGATCTGCATCTCTACATTGACTAAAGTCAGTTTTGATAATAAAGTATGTTTTGATAATGCTACTTTTCTATTTTTTCTTACGTTTTCCCTTGAGGGTTTTGGATCATCTTCATCCAAGGTGATCTAGACGGAATTTCTTTAGGCTGTTTTCTTTTTCTCTCTTTTTCACTCCCTCAGGTCAATATGGGATCGCAGTACCTTTATGCCTCTGTTTGTTTCACATACTTAAGTTTTTTAGGTGGCAGTTAAGTATTATTTGAATGTTATTGTTGGGAGAAAAAAGAACCAGGCAGAGATTTCTTAGATGAAATGAATGAATTCAGATGTGTTCATTTCTGCTAAGTCAGGTCTTAGTTTTTTCTAATGTTCACAGATGTTTACTCCCTTCCTTATTTTGTCTCTCTCCTGTCTTACACTTTAGAAACCTTCTCCCTCTTGGCCCTATCTTGAGATATAACACAACAGAACTCAAGGTTTGAAATATTTCAGTTTTAAAAATTAATTGAATTAATACAGTTGTTGAAACACTAAACTATACATAGGTCTTAGAAGATTTTTTTCTATATTTTTGGTGAAAATAAGTTTGTTTTGGCAGAGACTTCCTTTTTTTCACCCTGACTCCTCTGATATTGAGGCTTGTCCATTAAGCTAACTTTCCACTTGCTATTCACATTAATTTTCAGAGACAACTTTTGAAACCTCCTTTTTTTCCCCCCTGTAATTTATTAAGGTTCCATTTTGTCCCTCACATACTAAAATCTAATTCCCCATTGAAGAGATTTGACAAATTGGGACTTGTGAATAATTATCCGTTGTTTTTCTAAATTCCATCGTTTTACTTGTGCCTAGGAAATATTTGAATAGAAAAACTAGAACCCATCTTACTTGCTCTAGTTCCTGCTATTCATTTGAAAATTTCCTGCACCACTTGGAATAGATTTTCATCTGTTGAGTTGGTTCTGACCTGTTTACGAGGAGCAGCTGGTGAGCTTGAACCACCAACCTTGTGGTTCAAACCAACTTTGCAGTCTAGCTCATTAACCAACAGCGCCACACCAGGACCCCAGTGTTTATAGTAAGACTTAGAATTTTTTAATAAAAACTTTTAGTTGTAGTTGTATTTTAACCCTGTGTTTGTCTCATTTTACTCTACTGGTGATTTAGGTATGATTATTTTCTTTATGTGGAGTGTCTGTGAGGTGCCATAGGCTAAACGCTAGACTGCTAGTCACAAAATTGGTGCTTTAAACCCATCAGCTGCTCCTTGGAAACCCTCTGCAGGGTCTCTATGAGCCAGAACTGACTCAATAGCACTTAACAACAACAACATTTTCTTTATAGAATGGCTTATTTAAATAGGATAATATGAAAATAGCTGCGCATGACACATATGGATGCTCAGCAGATATTACATTAACACATTTTTAGATTCAACTTTGTTTTTTAAGAGACTTTAAATAAATTTTAATTCATAAATTTAGTTTTTAGATAATTTTGAGGAAATAATAAATTATTAAAAGAAAGACACACATATTAACACGAGGCAAATATTTCAAGAGAATTTTTTTTCAAATGTATACTATAAAATATTAGTATTGACAGTGTGGTGCTATAGGATAAGCAGTTCAAATCCATTGGCCATTCCTCAGAAACCCTAGACAGAGTTGCTGAGTCTGAACTGACGCCACGGCACTTAACAATAACAGCAAACACTGTTTAAAAAGGTGAGAAAATGGCTTTTGATTCATTTAGGTACCATAGCTAAGAAGTTCTCATTTTCTCCTTTAACAACTCTTCTCCTCTAATTGCAAACAAAATTTAATAAATTTTATCTTGAAGATGACATTGATATTGTTAAATATACATCAGATACTAGAAAACAACTTCCTTTCACCTTTTTATTCGTATTGCTTTATAAGTTTATTAATGGACTAATTTTTTAAATGCAAACTTATCAGGTAAGAAGGAACTCATTTTAGTTTGTCCTAATAGCATCTGTAAGGAGCTCTGGTAGTGTAGTGGTTACAAGTTCGGCTGCTAACCTCAAGTTCAGCAGTTCTAAACTACCAGCTGTTCCACTGGCGAAAGATGAGGCTTTCTGCTCCTGTAAAGATGTACAGCCTCGGAAACCCAGTGCAGGTTCGCTGTGAGTCAGACCCGACTCCAAAGCACATAACCACCAACTACCAACACCAATAGCATCCTTAAAAACAGCAGAAAGTCAGAAGGTTGCAGGAGACATGATGTAATATGCTTCTCCTTCCTAACATACCACGTAGTATGTTTTCTGTTGAAAGTTAGCTCCACTATGGAGTCTGAGCAAATAACTCACAGTTCCCCCTCCAGCCCCCAGACCTTGTGTAAATGTGATGATTCTGTTTGAGATTATGGGCTCTGTATGAGTGGAATTTTATTGTTGTTGCTAAGTGTTGTAGACTTGGTTCCAATTTTGAGACTAAATCTTCAAGGAAGCAGAAAATCTCATCTTTCTCCTGTGGACTGGCTGGTGGGTTCGAACTGCCAAGCTTGTAGCCTGCAGTCTAGTTCTTATTTTTGAAGCCACCGCACTGCCCATTGGTGGAATTAGTTCTTGGGAAATAAAGATTTCTTTTAGGCTTGGTGACAGTTTGATTGTCTTTATTAGTTGATGTTAAGTGCTGTTGAGTCAGCTCTGACTCATAGCGACCCTGTGTAGGGTTTTGGGGGAGCAGCTGGTGGGTTTGAAATGCCAACCTTCTGGTTAACAGTACAGTGCTTATCCTACAGTGCTATTAGCTCTCCTATTGTTGAAGAGTTACGAGGTGAACCTTCCTATGTGTGAAGACCTAAAACCTTCAAAGTTTTAAGAATTGCACTGTAGAGTCTTTTATTTATTTAGCTGAATTCTGTTTATTTAGCTGTGCAGTATTATTTGAGTATTTAGTTTGGCAACCAGACTACAAACCACAAGGTCAACAGTTCAAACCCACCAGCTGCTCCTTGGAAACCCTATACAGGGTCATGATGAGTCAGAACCAACTCAAAAACACTTATCAACACCGACAAGTGAACTGAGTAGATAATTAGAAATGTTTTTTTTTATTTATGTAACTCCCCCTCTCAAGTTTG